CAGGATTCTGGATAAGGTTTATTAATGCCCAATAAAATGGAACACATTTTAATTTGGAAATGATCTAGTTTAAAAACTATAGTATTCTTAATACAACTTTTTTTTCAATTAGATGTTAGTCTTTTCTGGACAACACTTCTGAGCGACACAGTTAGCTTAACCAATATTTTTCCTACAAGGTAAGTATTCTTCATCCCATCCCTGTGCATTTGATTATTTTTGCTAAATACAGCATTTTGAATTTTCACGAATCTAGCTATTTAGTTTTGAATTTTTATCTGCTAAACTTCATTCCTTAGTTCAGTTGTTTATTCTACCAAAAACACAGCATTTTTTTCTGATTTACATTGAGCAACCCAAGTTAGGTCTTTTGAGAACCTTCTAACTCAGCCTTTTCCAACACATTTTGAACTGCAAGTCTCATCACCCAACCCATAACTTCAAAGAGTGAAAAGAAACTACAGGATTCCAAGACATCTAAGTAGCCAGACTGAAGAAAAATCATTTAAATAATTGATAGAAAGGTTGAAGAGTACTTTCAGGCAGAGAAACTCAGTTTCTCAGTCAAAATCCTGCTCAGTTCTGAGGTAGAACCCAATGAATCCATCTCATTCCATCATCACATATACCACCTAAGTTTTATTAGGTGATAATAAAGGACCAAGATTTTTTTTGGGGGGGGGCAATATGCTGACTGTGTAAACTGCTTAGAGAGGGGCTGTAAAGCACTATGAAATGGTATACAAGTCTAAGTGCTATTGCCTGTTAATTCTAATATTATTGATCCCTGTTCATTCTAATTCTCTTTTTATTTTTTTTTCATGCTTTTATTGTAAGGAGCCTAAAGTTGCTTGGATAGTGAGATGGGCAGCATGTACATTCAACACAACATTATCCTCACAGATTCAACTGGTTAACCATAGGGAGTGAAACTGGGAAGAGACAGTCTCTTTGTCAAACGTTTGTTGCTGCTTTCTTTTTGTTTTGTTTTTTAAAAAGTACACCTTTCCATTCCCCAAATCCATCAAATCAGAGACTCCTAGATTATCTACTGTAATCTGGGTTTTGCTTTTATTATTTACCTAGAATGAATAAGCATTAACTCTTTAAGTATTTATAAACTTTCACTTTAATTTCAATACCTGGCTTTGATTGATAGCTGTTGGATTCAAGCAAAATTCAGTGGATTTGAGAAGATTGGTCTTCCTGCCTGGTTCTGCAGCAAATAGTAATCTGATTACAGAAAGAGACTTGGGAAGACTGACAGACCCATATTGGCTCCCGTCCAGTTATTATACCATTAGCAAGGGGCTTAAAAATTAACTTTATCAGCTCTTTTTGCATCTGCTCAGAAATTCAAGTTGGATCTTTGGGCACTTTGGTAGATCTTGGGTTGACAATAAGGGAAGGGGGAGACATTTGGTTGCTTCTTTTCTCTGGAAACTTGACTCTTTTTAAAGAAATGCTGCACAATTGCTTTCTCCTGCCATCGTTTCATTAATTAATGTTCCCCAAGGAATGAGAAACTTCAAAGAGTTTTACTTGATCAGGCCAAGGGCTGGTCTGATCCACCACTCTATATCTCACAGTAGGCAGTCATATACATTCCAAAAACCACACAAACATGAATAGAGGGGTTGACACACCTCCTTCGCTGTGGCTCCCCAGCAGCTGGTATTTCAGAATAGCAAACAGCCCTGAAGATCAACAGCTGTTGATTCCCCTATCTTTCTTTCTTGAATTTGTCCAGTCCTCTTCTAAAAACAAAATCCACACTGATGGCTATCCCCACCCAATGGCAGTGAATTTCATGCCATGCATGGTATAAAAAAAAAAAGTTCTGTTAATTGATCCTGAATCACTAAATATTTCATTTCAACAGATGATACACAATTCTAACACTGGGAGGAGTAAAACCTGCATTGATTTTATACTAAGCTTATCACGTTGTTCTCTATGGCTTTAAAGAAAAAACTTCAATTGTTGTAGTTTTTCCATACAGGAAAACCTTTTAAACTGCCTGATTAATTGGTATCATTTTTTGTTTTGTTGCATTCTTTCTAGCTCCATAATCATCTCTGAAGAATTTTATTGTACACTACCCAGAATCACTTTGGATAGTGGAATGAGGGGCATATAATTTTAACCATAAACTACCCACACTACTGAGATACCAAGCAGTATCACCTTGTGAGAACATTGTTATACTGCATTGCTAGTTTGTGGCAAAACTGGCATGGATTTCACCCCTTGCTGTGCAATACAGATGTCATAAACTATGAACAAACTGCAATCGTGTCAAAATATCCCAAAATTCCCCCCCCCCAGCTAGGGGGGCATCAAATTGGGGGACACTGATGGGATCCTGCATGTTGGCATAGAAGAGAATTTTTTATGGCTGATATGCAGGAGAAAAACAGGGCAAAAGCTAAAACCTTCTCAGTTTGCTTGGGAAAAACACCACTTTCTGCAGTACCTGAATTTTAGAAACAAATCGGAGCTGTGACTCATTTTACTCATTATGGTTTTGTACCCGCTATGGGGCCTAAAAAGTGGCCAGGTTTACCAAAACAGTAGTCTGCACATCATACAACGCCAAAATATGATTTTTGACATACCAGGTCAGGCTAACCCAATCAACCAGAGATTGATGTATTGTTTATATACATCAATTGAATGAATCCAGCTGATGAGTGAGCAAAACAGCTGGAACACACAAAAGAGGAAGCAACTAATCAAGAAATCCAAGTCAATGGAGCATCTTTTCTGGGAGGAAATCTTAAAAGAGCTTTTTAGTTTAAAAGGGTTAATCCTCAGTTCCATTAGAAACCTAGAGTTCTACCCAATAGGGGTGAGGAGAAAAAAACTTTCTCTAAATTCTCTAGAGGTTTATAAGAAACATTTTCTTTTACGGCTTCAGAAGTTTATTAGCTCTACCAATCAAGTCCTGCTTCTTGATACTGTTCATAATCAATTTATTAGTTGACAACTTGTAACAGCAAATGTTGCATTAGGAGACTTTAAACAAATTGGGAGGGGTAGTGATTTTTATGGCCCTTAATTAACATATTTATATACTGCTTCCCATTAAAAATCTCAAGGCTGTTTGTAACATTAAACACATCCTGGTGCTAATTAATCACAGTTAATCCTCCTGATTTCAGCGCAGTAGATCTGAATATTAGTTCTTGAATGGGGAAAAAGGGGAAGCTGTTGGCTTTATATCCTTCTCAGCAAGTAAGGCAAAGGATACTTGAGTTGATGGGAGTAATCTGATACAGCTTTACTATGTAATTACTTTTAGAAGAAAGAGGCCCATTTAGAGCCTTTATCTCTAAAAGTTCAAGGGTGTAAAGAAACAGACCAGACCATTTTATGAGGAAACTAAAACAACCTTTTCTCAACTTGATCCTCTGTAGGAAGATCTACATGACAATTTTAATTTGTCTGCTTCTAATTTTTGGCACCTTAAAGTGATTATACAATATGGCATGAGCTTTCATCAACTACAATCTGCTTCCAGCGTATAAAATATGAACCTGAATAATTTTTTTTCCAATTTCATATATATGTAACAGGTGGTCACCTTGGTTAGCATTCAACTCAGAGATTTGGAATTTAGCATGATTAGGTATAACCAGTAAAACTGGCGACTAAGATTCAGTGTCTTGGGCAAAATCCAAACTGTGGCTAATAAAGAAACCAGGTTAGCAGTTGTGTGAAGACAGTCACTGAGCTACAAACTAATTAGACAGTCAATATAATGTAATGTAATGTAATATATAATATACAATATAAGTAAGCTAGGACAGAGTTAGCTAGTTTGTGATTCAGTCTTGCAAACCCAACCACATATTTATGTTTCAATATAAGCTTAGAGATTCTCATTAAAGCATGACAAAAAAAAAGCACCATCAGGGGGAAAAAAGTTGCTTTCTTTACAATAATGAAATGATGGCACTATTTCCAAGCACTTGATGCTGAGCTGGAATCTAAAACTCTAGTTGCAAATCTTCCAGAGACTTAATGGATTCCACCTTTAACACAGTTTTTACCAGCTCAGAAATCTTATCCATAGTACTTATAGTAAGATCCATAGTACTTCTTGGATGAAAAGCAAAATGTTTTCAAAGAAAAAAAGCAAAAAACTGCAGTTGCCTCTTTGGAAAAAAAAAAAAAAACACCTTTGGAACAACCATGACCTGGATGACTGAGAATCTCCATAGATGTGAAGCCCCAGAGCGCTTCATACAATTCCTCAATCCTTCATTAGCTGCCCACAACTTAGGAAGCATTTGCCTAGCAATCTCCAGAGTCTCAAAAAGACACTGATGCTAAAACCCTTTGCTGAAATCTTCCGCTAAACCGCTGTGCTAAAACAGATGCTCCACTCAAACTAGATCAGACCCAGCATTGTTAGGTGAGTGCAGAAAGGAGACTTTTCCTCCGGATTGCAACATCCACCCACCCAAGGCTGAACAGGGCATCTTTTTCTGAGTAGGCAAGATGCAATGAAGAAGGGGGGGGGGGAACACGCTAGAAATGCCTTCCTATCCCGAGTAGGAACCAGCAGTTCTAAAAACAACCTTTAGCATCCTGTTCTGGAAAATGAGCAACTCAAAAAAAAAAAAAAAAAAAACCGGGCAAAGACACAATTATTCTTTATTGGCCAAATGAGATTGGACACACAAGGAATTTGTCTCCGGTGCGTAAGCTCTCACTGTACATACAACAACCAAGTGATAGGTCATATATCATAGGTCACAGTTGCAATCATTAATCATCGTAAGATACAACAGCGGGAGAAATCAAGACACCAATAGTAGAAGGTGGTAGGAAAAATGAGAAGACGAGAATGCAGTCCTACTATACTATGGTCCTCAATTGTGTCTTTCCCAGTTTGTTGCTCATTTCTTAATCTTATAAGCCTTACTTTGGGAAGCCCCTTGTGAAAACCTCAGGTTGGCCCACATCATCGCCTCACCCACCCCCAATCCTACCTCTTCTCCGCTGCCCTCTTCATCTTTCGCTTCCTCCGAGGCCATCTGCTCGCTGGGGCTTTGACTAGCCACGCTCCGGGGACTGCTCTCCCCACTCCCCACCTCGTCTGGTTGGCTGGCGGGGCTGCTGGAAGGGTCGGGATCCGGACTGGGCGAAGCAGCCTCCTTATTGTTGCAAGAAGCCGGCCGGGCCGGAGCCGGAGCCGTGGCCGAGGCCGTGGCCGCAGGGACCAGGCAGCTTCCGGCCCAGGGATGCCCCCCATAATAAGGGCCCGCTTGGTCGAAGTCACGCTCCACTTTGATCTCGGCCTTGGAGGCCTGGCAGGCTTCTCCGGGCTGCGGGAGGGCGTAAGGGCCCACCATGATCCCGGGAGGGTGGCCCCAGGCATCTGCCCCGGCAGCAAAGGGGTACCAGGTGCGAGGAACTTCACCCCCGCCGGGATAGGGCTCCCCGAGCCCTCCCTGGGGGCCGTAATCCGGCTTGAAGGCAAAGGCCTGCCCGGCGGTGGCCCCACTGAAAGCCTCCGGCAAGTAGCCGCCCGGGTTTTCGTGCTGGGGAACAGGCGGGAGGTTGTTGAGATGAAGGGTCTGCACCGGGAAAGGGTAGGAGCGGCCCAGCTCTCGCCTCAAGGGCCCCGCCATGGTGGCCGGTTGGAAAGGCGGTCAAGAGCCCCGAAGGTCGCGACTCTGGATTGGCTCGGAAAAGTTAGCCAAGATGCCCGGGAAGAAACGGGGGGAAGAGGCCGAAATAACCTCTCGGACGGGTTGGGTTGAGGAAGAAGGAGGAGGAGGAGACGGACCAAGCTGGAAGGCGTTAGGAGTCCAAGGTCTCTTCTCAGCGGGCCAGCTTCTTCGGAGGGAGCAATTGGGAAAACCCCCAAGCCAATGTTTGGGGAGCAAAGAGGCGACGGAGGGAGCCGCCGTCGTCCCCCCGCAGCTCAGAAAGGTCCGATGGAAAAGTCTCAGGTCGCCGTCCCAAGAAGGGACCCCCGACCCCTGCAGGAGAAGTCAAGTCCAAGGAGAGGGCTGAGCCCCTGTCCTTAGCCCAAGAGAGGAGCCAGACCCGGGGCAACGTCCAACAAGTTCCCCCCCCCAAAGGCCAGCGGCGGAGCAGGGAGCCCCACCGCCCCGCAGAATGAAGACTGCTTTGCCCCCGGGCTCGGACAGCTGGAGGGGGTCCAAGCCTTCCTGGAAGCGACCCGCCCTCCTGTTTAAGTGGCCCTGACCACACCTCTCCTCCAGGTATTGGCCAAAGACCAAGAAAGACCCCTGGCCTTCCCACCTCTGTTGATGCCTCTCCGGTGGCCTCTTCAAAGCCCAGCCAAGGGTTGGGATCCAGGGAGGCGCCCCCCCCCCTCGCCCCCTCCGCCGCCATCCTTGCGCAAGAGAGCTTGGGCTGCCCCGGGGGAAAGCCAAGCTGGAGAGGAGGGGGCCAACCCCACCGAGGGCTTCAAAGCCAAGGGGGAAACGAGGGAGGGGGGGGTAAAGGGGCCACCGAGGGCCTCGATCCCGGGAGGAGAAGGTGGGGGGCGATCCAGCTCTGCGCTTGGAGGTCCCCGAGAGAGGAAGGGGTGCTAAGTGTTGGGTCAATGATAACAAAGAATAAGTTAAGGTAACTTTTATTGTCATTTTTTTACTGTGGAAACACTGGCGCACATTAAAAAGGAAATTTTGTTGGCTGCTCTCAGAAGTGTAGACATACATAACACACATATAAACATGCTATGTACACCATAGTGACTCCGCTGCCTCCCGGTCCTTTTTTGCAAGATGCTGCCTTCCAGGATTGTGCAGCCTTGCAAAAGGGTGGCTTTCTTTCTTTCCAATCTTTTCCGACAAAAGAGTATATAAATGCATAATTGAGGCCTTTCCAACTGGGGTGGGAGCTTTTCCAGAGGAGAAGGGGCTGCATCTGTTGGATAGGTGCCTGTTAGGCTGCAGTGCAAAAGCGAAAGAATCTTGCAGGAGAGGAGGGCAGAGCAACCTCAATGCACAGCTTTAAAAGCGGTTAAGAAACAAGGGCTGATTTATTTGGAAAGCGTTTCCTTTTATTTATTTGCAGAACTTGCAGTCTGTGGCCATCTGTACCATATCTAGGCAGCTCACAACCACAAATAAAAACACCCATAAGAATTTACTATATTTATCTCTGCATTCTCCCATTGAGATCAAGGTAATGTAGAGTGTATTTTTCCCTTGCAACTATTTCATGGAGGCAGGTTAAGGAAAGGTAGTTGGACCAAAATGTCACAGCTATGGATATTTAGATCTGGTTTCCCTAGCCTAGACCATGTTAATTAATGTAGAGACTGGGATTCTCTAATATCTATATTAAGATCATTTATAAACCTTGATTATAAATGTCTCAAAACCTGAGATTATGCAGATTAATATACCTAAACAATTAATTGCACTTTACTCAGTTCTGGTAGCTTTACTGCCTCCCTTTAAGAAGCTTTTTTTTCCTCCCCTCTTTATAATATTGTTAATTTACTTGTAGGTAAAGGTAAAGGAGTCCCTGCTACTAGTAGTTGCCAACCTTAGGGGTGGTGCTCATCTGTTTCATTGACTTACAGCCCTATTCAAAATATATTCAAAATTAAAACCTACTTAGGTCAGTGGAACTAGAAAGTGTTAGAAAGAACCCTCACTAGTATGTCTTTAGGAGTGGGGCATTTTAGCTGCAATCTTATGCAGATCTGTGTTTTTGCAATGCAAGTCACTGGTGTGTAACCTTGCCTATTTAGAAGGTAATTCTAAAGTTGGAGTTTAGCATCATTCTAAGTTGTTTATTCAAAAGTAAGCATTACTGCCTTCTGTGGAGCTTATTGTCCAGGCAACTTTAATAAGGTCACAGCCTTAAAACTAAGTTGTATATTTCTTCTCAGAAATAAGCCCTGCCGAGTTCAATAATTCTTACTCCCCAAGTGAAAACGAATAAAATTGCAGCTTTATTGTTTGGGATCCTACTGCTTTGCATTCCATAATGTTTGTATCACAGAAGAAAGCCCAAAGTGACTAATAATAAATATAGTGCTAGCTTATAAAATTATGAAAGTGTGCAGGAAAATAAATAAAGAACTTTTCTTCAAAAATGGAAAGTTTATAAACTTGAATCAATAGGTCTCATCTGTATAAGCATTCCCATTGCCATCATGAAACTGGATCTTATGCCTGGATACTGGAAGGAATGTACAGCTTGAATACAGTGGTGTGCACTTTCAAGAAGATTTGTGGAATCCCTTGTGGGTTTACTTTTTTTATATTACTCATATCAAGAAATAGAATTTTAAAAAGGTGGGGGAAGCATACTATGTTATTTAAGGGATTCATCCCTCTTAGAATGACATGTATATTCAATTTTTGTTCTATTTCTTTAACCATATTCAAAAAAATGTTTCTTTTTTAAGTATTCTCTTTGATAACTTAGAATTCCTGGTCTTACTTGCAAAGAAATCCCTCAAAACCATTTTCCAATATCAGCACTCTGAAAGCGGCTTGCAATTCTCAATTTCAGTCAATAAGGCTCTCATCTTATAGTTGCTGCCCTCCAACACATCCCAAGGATACAAATAATGTTATATGTGCTTATTCCAAACCCATTTGAATTTAGCAATTTACTTCCAGGAAAGTAAATTAGATTACTGTGATGGTGGAGTTCCTCAGGTGAAACTGGTCACAGATGCTCTGAGTTGCAGGAACAGAAGAAGTAAATCAGAAGTTGAAGTTTAGAATAGATTTCTGAGCACACCCAGACCATGTTTCCTTTATTTGTGCAAATAAAAATATAAATTTATATTGAGGCTACAATGAAATAAGAGGAATCAAATAAGGGGGGGGGAGAAGCCAGAGAAATTAAAACAGTAGCAGCAACAATCTGGACCGAGTTGCTCAGAAAATTTCTTCCTTTTCCTTTGTGAAACAAACTTAATTCAAAGGTTGCTAAACAACACACACTGGGCAGGCAATTCACTGCTGCAAATTAGACACAGATTTCTATTTCAAGTAGTATATGATGATTCAATTGGTCACTTCCATATTTAAAAATTCCTTGGTTGTCAAGTATATTGATAAGATTTCAGATAAGGGGGATCTTTAAGACACCCAATTGATTTGGTGTCTTATTCATAAATACATTAATGTAGTAGTGTCGGTCCAATATAGTTTACTTTGTGAAAAGTGAAGAAATGCTTAATCTGCATTTACCATTTTATCTTCTCTTTCCAGATATCCCTGAGGAGTGCATAATGTGATTTACTTTCACATTTTTTCATACAATAGCTCTGTGAATAAATGAGATTGAGAGAGAACAAAAGTAAAACTCAAAGGAAAGGCAGAATAGTTTTTTTTTCTGTCTGCTTTATACATTTCATTAGACTTTTTTTTAAGGAATGGTTTTTAATGTCTTTTTAAAAAATGATTCTTTTAAATCCCGTAAATCATCTGAATGATGATGTGTATATACTTCAAAGGAGAACTGGAGGTGGTATAAATAAATATATATATACTTTTTATGTAAATAAATAGAAAAGCAGCTTAGGGAGCTTCCAGTTTCATTCAGTCTTGCAGGTAAAGCCAAAGAGTTATTTATTCTCTTTTTATATCCCACTGTTCCTTCAAGAACATCAGAGGAAAACTATTGTGTGATGTGAGGATAGGCTCAGAAAGGATTAACCTAAATTTCAGCACTCTAGGTAACTACTGTATTCTAATGGTGTTTTATTAATAATAAAAATCAATTTCATGAGTATTTTTTTTTATTGGCTTCCATACTGAAAGTATTCTCAAACATAGCACATGGTACAGGCATTGAAAGTGTTGGACTGTGTTGGGAGGGAGGGAAGATCTAGGTTGTAATTCACTCACCGTCACAATACTCTCTGGATAATTATGGACTAGTCACTTTCATTTCTGTCCAGTCTACCTTGCAGGATGATTGTTATGAGGAAAAATGGGAGGAAGAGATATTTGTGTTCCTGAAGGAAAGGCAAAATGTAAATATGTTTTACAGATACGTGAAACAGCAGGAGATTGTTAAGATAACAAATAGATTAATACTATGTACCAGCCTCTCTTAATCTCAGCAACTTTGAGATGGGTGAAATTTAGCTCCCAGAATTCCCCTCGCTGAGTGGGGACTTCTGGGAATCGAAATCCACCCATCTTAAAGTTTCTGAGGTTGAGAAATACTGCTGTACGGGTAGTCCTCGATTTACCACATTTTGCTTAGTGAGTGTTTGAGGTTACACCATGGCTGGAAAAAGTGGCTTATGATCATTTTTCATACTTCCAATCATTACAGCATTGCCATACTTCCAATCATTACAGCAAATTCAAATGCTTGGTAACTGACTCATATTTAGGACGGTTGCAATGTCTCAGAGTCATGTGATCACCTTTCGCGACCTTCTGACAAGCAAAGTCAATGGAGAAGCCAGATTCAGTTAACAACCAGGTTACTAATTTAACAAGTGCAGTGTTGCACTCATTTAACAAACGTCTCACTTAGCAACAGAAGTTTTGGGCTCAGTTGTCGTCATAAGTTGAGGACTAGCTGTATACTGTTAAAAACTTATCTGTATGAATAGTAGCCGGGTGATCTTGGGCCAGTAACTCTCAGTCCAACTCACCTCACAGGGTTGTTGTGAGGAAAATAGGAGGAGGAAGGAGTATTGGCCAATGATTGGTGTCTTGAATTAATTTTATACAACAATAATAAAGGTGGGATAGGAATGAAGGAATGAAATGCTCTGGCTGCACTAGCCCTTTATTGTAACAAGTCACAAATCATGAAACAAAGAAACAAAAATGTTTTGCCTCAATATTATCTCCAGGATAATCTTTACGACTCAGACTGCTGTGGAATCAAGATGTAATGAAATCATTTGTGAATCTAGAACTAGATTGGATTAATTCTGGCAGAGGAGGAAAGACCATTTTTCTCTTTCTTTCTCTCCTTACTTTCAGAAACCTTGTTTTGGCACCTATTGTTGTGAGCTTAAACTTAGATGTGTTCTAAGTTTTCACAGCAAGATTTTCTGCTGGGTGAAGGCAGAGAGAAAAGACCTGTTTGTAGAACTCACCTGCCCACTTTGACAGCCATCAAACTTAATGTAGTTTCAATTAAAGAGATGGATTGTATTTTTAAGGCGATTCAAAAAGCAATGAATTTTACGAGCCTCCATAATGTCGG